TTTTGAATAATTTATGCAAACGCAAAATGCGGCAGAAAGTTTCGCATACTGAAATGTAAAACGTATGCAACAGCATTTTAAAACTCTTTATTGTCAAATCTCGTTTGAGAGAGCATAATTTGCATTAATGGACACATAAACAATGTTAGAATAAACGTTCGTATTTCTCGAGATTCTTGTCGTTCGTCACTTTTGAGAGCTAGCTAGTAATCTTTCCGCTAAACAGTGCCCGACCCGAAGGCACTTGTCGCTATTGTTTTCTCGTTGACTAGCAGCGTAATATAAAACGTATTAAGATCATACGTTTGTTCAAGCAAAAAAGAAAACATATTCTATTCATGTAACCCGTCTCCGTAACGTAAAAAAGACCTACGCGTCGTTCTTTTCTCACGCATCTTTTTTCCCTGATCGATCAGTAATCGGAAATAAATATAAATAGCAATCTCGCGCAGCGTATTTGATATACATATACAGTAATTGAAGCGATTACGCTTAATTTTTCACTTATCCCTTTACTCTAGTATATATAAAACAAAATTGTCTTCTTGAAAGTATCAGATATGGAAATCGAACGTTCATGTATTTGATTTCGACAGCGACCAATTTCTTTGAGCGGATTTTCATTCACCTAATTCTTATGAAGCAACGTTACGGCAATCTATAATCCGATTCTTCAGCGATTACGTCAGGCCAAACATTGTTTTAGTTATGTCGATTTCTTACGATAAAGAGAAATCCGCCTGCGCCGTTGAAGTTATTTCGAGCCGACTCAAACAAATAATAACGACTTACCCGCACGGTCTTTACAGAATAGACATATACCGGCGTCCGTCACGCATCGTGACGTTAGAACCAGCCAGGTATCTCAGGGATAACGTTACTCGGTAGTACAGTGCATCTATACTGTCCTGTAATTGCCATTAAGAAGAGACCGAACAAATCGATTAAAACTTCTTTACAAATATAATATGAAAATCGCATTAAAATTTTTTATCAAAACTAAGAAAATTAAGATGAAAGAAAAGCATCAAATCGCTAAATTCTATTTTTTTCATATTTAAGTTCTTTAATAAATATAATTTAAACTTGTACAAATTGCTTATTTGTATATTTATAATTTTTGCACAGTAGAATGATAATTGCGCATTATAAAATATCGTCGAGATGAAACATACAAGATATTTGCAACCAATAGACGTATGAAGTTAAAGTCATTCGTCATTAGCGTACAATGAAAGTACAATAGTCTTTTTTCCTTTCGATAAGCGCGTGTATCATATGGAAATTTACGTAACGACGTGCCGTGCTACCTGTCGTCTTGTTGCAACGATATTTACTGTGAAAAGCGAATGAAGACGCTGCTGCATGCAACAAATTGGATATAGCCGACATGAAGAAGTTAACAACTCGCACACGAGCCAACTCGAGCGTGTACGGAGTATACGCTTCGTTTCGCTGAAATAATAACGAAGATCCCCAGACCCGGCTCGTGTCGTCACGGTGTAAGCAGGAATTTCTTGCTCTCCTTTCCTTTATATTTTCACCCAAAATTACAAAAAAAGTTCCCGCAAATGTCGACCGCGCGCGGACGAAACTCCGCGAGTGTACGAAATTAATACAAAAGACGTGTACCTACAACTCGGAAGACTTGGAATTGAATTTCGCAAAAAGCTGCGCCTTCGTTGCGCGAATTGACTATTTAAAATACCGTACTCGTGCGATATGTACATAATAGTAGTTTCGAAAAACTAAAATCATCCGTTTTAATTAACGTTCATTTGTGTTATCTGTATATATATATCACGATTTCTCGTTTATCAATTCGTGTAAGTCAACTGGAGGCAGTCCAATTTTTACAATCATCTTTTACCGATCCGTCCTCTATTTTTAATTTTTAAATCTTGTTCTAGAAAATTGGTTGGGTTCGAATCTCTGGACGAGTATCGCGATTACGTGACACACGCGATGGTGACACGGCTCCTCAAGGGCTATGGGTACGGCGAATTGCTCAGCTCGCGCAAGAAACGTCCTACACGTGAAACTAGTCGATTTTATACGTCAGTTTCAAACGCCTGACAACGATTGACAAATCAACGATCCGGCAATGCCGATCGCGCCCGCGCATGAAAATGCATAGGCAATAGCGACAAAAACTTCGTTAAGGCCATGCACCGACTCAAGGAGCGTAAAATGTGGCACGTTACACTATGCAATACGTGACAATCTATCGCTCGTTGTTACGACATCAGTAAAGTATCTTGATAACAAATAATCACATTATTTTTCCTTCTTTTTTTTCGTTCTTATTGGTTTAAAGCTAACTTATCTAATACGAATCTTATCGCTAAAATTAATAATTTAGCATTTTAGGCTCTGTTTTTTTTGTTATTTTTTCGCAAATCTAAGTACTATTTTTGTAGCCCCTTTTTTCTAAGTTATGTTCTTTGTTATTTACTCCAATTATTTATGCATTATAAAAATATTTCAGCAAACGTGAAAAGATTAAAAAAACAGACACATACGTGTCAAAAATGATACTAAAAATAATTTTCTTTTAATTCAAGACTTCAACAAAAAGTACTTTTAAGTCAATTAATTACAATGGGAAAGAATATAAAACGCGTTAAACGATAGCATTCTGCAACGTTGCTAACAATTAATCGTAACTATCTGCTTTTGTAAATATAACACTAGTTACAAGTGTCTCAGAGAAATTTCTCTGAGAACCGTGCAACCGCATCAAGACAATGCCGTGGTTCCCGTGGATTATAAATACACGAATCAAACCGTGCATTAACATACATCTTGCCACAATTACACGCGTTTCTTTATTATTACACGTCGAAAAACTTTCGCTGCGTAGACATTTTTATTTCCTGCCAATTTTCACGGAGCGCTCGTTACATCTTGCGACTTTTTCTCATGCACTTCTCTGACATATCCGGTTTACGATTCGGGAAAGAAGAGATCAAAATTATTGCGGCAGTTATCGTCGCGAAACAAGAGTAATCTACGACAATTCTGCGGGCGCGTATTTTGCTCAAACGATCGAACGATCGTAGCTGTCGAATAATAATTAATTTTTTGAGAATGTATAAACAACGCGAATAAATTGTCATGTCAGGCAATACGCCGATAATGCGAAAACGAGAACGGGATACCCATTATTGGGCCATTTGTCGAAATGAATTTCCACCGTATAGTCATGAAACGCAGCAATCGTGTCAATATGACGTCTCGCGTAATTGTTTGTCCCCGTTAATGCGGACCGCGCAAATGAAGCGTGCAAATCCCCGACCGGGAGAGAATTCCCTGCGGCGTGTATAATTAATAACGCCCGGCGCTGGTATCTTTTGTATCCTTTATGAGCGCCGTTGCGTAATGGCGCATCGATTAATCGGACTCGTGATTTCGCCCGATCCCCCGCGAGATCTTCCGCGAGATCCGCGCGCGTACGTACGCACGAGCGTTTAACGTTGCATTTATCATATCCGCGCTACGGCTTAATTAATAATTCAATGTCACGCCGTAAACGTAAACGCGAACGCGCGGATGTTTCAATGTAAAGAGATGCAAAGAGAAAGAAAGATCGTTCGCCCGACGTTGCACAAAGGCGCCTAATTTAGCTGAAATTCCCGCCGCA